TGCATGACAGTCATGTGGCCTATGGGCTGTAATTTTTTTTGTCAGCTATATCTGTAAGAAGATTCATACATCGTTGTTTGTCTCTTCTCTGACCAGTTATTTATGTGTTGACCTTTTTTTGATGTGTGAGGGAGCAATACAAGGTGTAGTTGAGTTGTTTTTTTAAGCTGTATTTTTCAGAATGGTCAATTTAGTTGAGTTGATTGTATTTTTTAGCTATAATGTCATGAGTTTTAATGGTGATTTTAGTTTTTTAGGTAAACTATATGTTGGTCCTGAAGTTGATTTATGAAGCTGTGGCGTTATTCTTTATGCTCTTCTTTCTAGCACTCTCCCATCTGATGATGAGAATACTCCAAGCCTTTTTAACAAAATAAAGGTGAGATATAATCTCAGTGATTTACCTAAGAAATGGATTCCTTTTATATTTTATTTTTAATATACTCAGTAATTTTTTATATCTATTTGTCATATACGTCTGACAAATCATGTTTGCAATGTTGTGCTTGATATCAGGTTATTTAACATTAATGCAGAAAAATAGTTGTGTATCTGTGGGTCTTTAATTGTTTGGAACTATGTATGTTCTTTGTCTGGGGATAAATATAGGAGCATTTTTAACTGCTACTGGATAATTTGCATTGATATTTGATTCATGGTCCTCAAACTCTGAACTGTGCTGTTGGGAATTTATTTTGAGTAGGTTACTTTTTCCCCTATTGTTCATAGGCTTTTCTTTTGTGTCAGTCATATGGTGAATCTAGATCTTGTTACACTGATATGAGAATGAGTTTATTCTTATTGACACAGAGGCCATTCTTTTATCACATAAAAGGACTCACTAGATGATAGTCTTATTGTATTTGTTGTACCAAGACTGAAGCAATTACAGTCTCACTGTACTGCAGTACCAAGACTGAAACAATGATAGGAACTTGTCTAATTTAGACTTAGAACCATAGGAACTTGTTCATAAAATTCAGCACGTTGAAGGAGTATAATATTTTTTCAAGGGTCGTCTAAGGATCTCTAGTAATGCCATGCGCCAGCAGCACCTTGATTAAATTTGAGGGCGTTATCTGAGGAGCTATGGTGCTGATGATCATTTTGTCACGCACTAGCAGCAACATTGATTAGATTTGATGAACAACAGAACTGAACTAGTAGTAAGTATCCATATTTCTATGTTAAAAACTCTGAAATTACATTTGTTTGTGAAGACATTAATTACCAGCAGCAATTCTGAAATAGTTGTATACAATTTATTTTGGATTTATTTTATTAGCTCCACTTGCAAAATGCCTTTTTGTTGTATTCTTGGACATACATATATGCTTATTATATGAAGACTAATAGTAGAAGACCTAGCTGTTATTCTAAATCTCTATTTTTGCAGGTTTGCTCACATGGTTGTACACAGTGCGACACCTCTGTACAAAACTGATTTCTCAAGACGAGGGGAGCTATCAGTGAAGCAAATGCGCATGGCCAAGTTCCTGAGGAGCCTTTAGAAGTTAGCTGATGAGGTTAAGTGTAAGTTAACATTCTTTTTTGTAAGTTAGCTAGTGTATCTAGTAGTTAAATAGTTCAAGTATAATTAACTTCTTTCTTTTTCAGTTCAGTGTATCCTTGATTCTACGAAGCATAATCAGTTTAGTGGTTGTTGTTCTATCCTTCTTGTTTACTGACTAGTCTGTCTAGTTTATTTCAAGTGCTTGATCTGCTTGGTTCAGTAGACTAAAGTAGTATCTATTTTAGCAAATTTCCATCCTGCAACCAGCAGTGGCAAGTATTTTTTTACTTGTCCAGTATGCATTTTTCACAATAGTGAATGGTGTTCTCACGTTGCTTTGCTCTTGGACGGCAGGCCCTTCGGCTTCAGGGACAACAGCACGAGTCAACACCGACGCCCAGCGTGCTGATTCAGGTTGCAGCCCGTTCACTAGAGGCGCCTAGCTTGAGCAGTGCCAGCATAGATTGGGCTGGTGGTAGCGGCAGCAGTACACAGATCATTTTCAGATGTGCTAATGCTACCGGTTTTGAATCTTGTTGAGTTTTACCCTTGTTATGCAAATTTGACAGATTTTTATATTGCAAAACTGTCAGTTTTTGTTCATTTGTTAAAAATTTGACAGATTTGTGGTTGATAAATCTGTCAACAGATGTGTAGACACTCCCAATATTATTTTGCAAGCCGTAGACTATGTAATTGGGCCCTGAACATAATACACCCCAACATTACCTAGTTAATTCTTTCAATGACCTCTAAACGACTTATGTCTTGTATTATAATAAATTTCTTATCTATGTTATCCTCTATGTTTTGTTGGGATAGGGTACGAGTTTTAGATAGCACTTGTAATTTAACATCTAATATGACGATATTAGTTTATTTTGTATTTGTGTGGAAAGCTTTGCTCTACTAATGCTCTGTGACAACATAATTGAATTGGTTCTATAGAAAATTAAATAATATGTCAAAAGTTATTGTTTGAAGATTGCATTTATATATTTTATCAAATTAAATAGATGAACACCATATATTAAGTGTTTTGGTAGCGGTTCTTTAGAACCCCACTATAGTATTGTATATTTGGAATATATTTAAGCTGGCAAAGCATCTAGTCAAAGGAACTAGAAGGTTGGGGAAGTCTAGTAGTGGTGATACATCATATACTCGCTCTGTTCCAAATTATGTCACTTTGACTTTTTTGGTACATCCATTTAACTATGTATCTAGATATAATAATATATCTAGATACATAGCAAAATGAATAAACCAAAAAATTCAAAGCAAAATGAATAAACCAAAAAATTTAAAGCGACTTACAATTTGGAACAGAGGGACTAGTATTTAGTGAAGAACTAAAGCTAATACCAGACACATTTCAAATTGAAACATCTAAAAAGCCTTGAGCACTCTCAATTGTATTGCTGGGAATTTTTGGATTGTAGATCTAAGGTGTGTTGATATTTCTTCCCTAAAGTTATTAAACAAAAACATGATATGCTAATTAACATACAATACTTGACATGATTGGGGCTTTTTCTCAGCGTATGTTTTGAATTTAAATTTTTACCTAATTTGCAAGTCTTATTAGTTTGAGAAACACGGTTGGGAGCATGATAGTAGTATTTGTTGGGTAATAATGTTGTTGAATACCACATTGACAAAGGAACAATAATCAGCTTATGGGTGAAGATGATGGTTGAACCTTTCATATATTGGATTTACTGCTAGATGCTGCAACTGCAACTTCATTTTGTAGTTATTAATAATTTGATATTTATGTTTTTGTGAGTAAATTTAAAACATGTTTGGACAACATTATTTTCTTAAGGGGATGCTTAACAATAATTAGCTAAGGAAAACAATACATATTACATGATGGTTCATGTCAGGATCCAACAAAAAATGAAAATCACAAAGAAATTTTGTAGCCTTTTCTTCACCATCACTGACATAAGTACATGGATCAAAGGAGTTCACCATACTGTCATAGGTCACTCTAAAAATCCTTCATGTCCTTCAAATGCTTTAGATACAATAAAAGACTCATAAACCTTGGATTCAAGGGGAGGAGAAACTGTATCCATACTGAAAAAGAGTAGGCATTACAACTTTAAGTTTTGTATTCTTTTAATTGATAAGGACACATGCAAAACTATCAAACTAACTGATGTATAACATGACATAACCTTCAAGATTAGATATAGACTTCTTATTATGAAGTTGACTTTTTTGGGGAATCTCCAAATGTAGTTGGAAAATTATTGCTTGCTAAAGAGGAGCTGCAGGATGTTATAGTCATGCTCAACAAATTCAAAATCAGTTGCACTTTTGGATGTTGCAGTCATGCTCAATAAATTCACTATCAATTGCACTTTTAGATGTTAGCTGTAATCGTTTTCAACATAAACCCAGAGGAAAACTCTTGCCTTTTTTTCAAGCATTTGTTCTGTCATATGGATTATTTGTCATCACTCATGTAGCTTAAAGCTTTTAATGCAAACTTCTTTATTTTTGCCAACTTTACTAGATTGAATTTAAATATGGAATCTTAAATACAAAGAAAGCACCATATATATCATCAACAATGGTGGGTCATCCATGTTTCTTTGCACTTTTCCCTATGAGTGCTTTTGTGCCTTGCCTTTGCTACACACAAATACACCACCAGACAAACAATACAAGACCACAAGCAAATTGTGTGTGTACACCTCATAAATCCTTGTGCATCCTGATGTGTACCAAAAATGTGTGTGCGCGTATGTGTGTGTGCACCTCATAAATTCATGTGCATGCTGATGTGTACCAAAAATGTGTGTGCGCGCGTGTGTGCACCTCATAAATTCTTGTGCATCCTAATGTGTATCAGAAATGGTAAAATCCCTATTTATGAGATGTGTTCCAAAGTTTATGAGATGAACAAAAATGTACATAGGAGAAAAAGGTTACTTATTCTCTTGCACGTTCAATATGGCTCCCTATTTTTTAGTAAAGCTTGCATACTAAAAATTACATTCTTCTCGACTAGAACAATCTAATGGCCATATTTTGTTCCAATGGTGATAATCATGTTATCAGCCATAGTACTTGATGAAACTCAAGTAGACGTATAAACCAACTATTTCATCTTCCAAACCTTCTTTGTAGATGAAGACTTCACCACTTGTTGCTCCATTGGTCCTATTTTGCACATCCATTGCAACCTCCACTTTGTGTATAAGATGAGCCTGAGGGGCATCAGCTTGGCTATAGAGATACAGAAACTTCCTTACTGCCCTTTTCATTTGCTTTATCACTAGAGAAGGTATTCTTGACCAGATTATTACTAATATCAATCGGTCATGGTGATAAATTATAATTTGAGTATACAATAGGATATTGAATAAAATATGGTTGCATATGCATACTACTATAATCCCAAGGTGAGTAATGCCAAGGATATAACCAAAACCATGGACTAATTGGCCCAAGAATTTATAAGATTATTACCATGGTGCTTACAATTAGATTAACAAGAGTGGTTGATAGAGTAATTAGCCCCTATCAGACAGCTTTCATTCCAGGGAGGAATATCCTTGAAGGTGTAGTCATTTTGCAGGAAGTCTTGCACGAGCTCAGGTCAACTAAATCTACTGGAGTTATTTTAAAGCTAGATTTTGAGAAAGCTTACGACAAAGTGAGTTGGTCTTTCCTAGAAGAGGTCTTACTGAGGAAGGGTTTCTCTGAGAAATGGATCCAGTGGATAAGACATGCTGTTCAAGGAGTCAGAGTTTGCATCGATATCAATGGCGAAAGGGGCAGTTTTTTCAGAAGTTTCAAAGGACTCAGACAAGGAGATCCTCTTTCTCCATTGCTATTCAACCTAGTTGCTGATGCCTTATCAGCTATGCTGAGTAGAGCTAGAGATGCAGAGCTGATCCAAGGGTTAGTTGAGAATTTGATAGAGAGAGGATTGACTCATCTCCAGTACGTAGACGATACTATTATACTTCTTAAATTCTCTCCTCGGTGTCTACAAAATCTTAGAGTGATTCTGTCCTGTTATGAGGCCATGTCAGGTTTGAAAATCAATTTTGAGAAGAGTGAGGTTTATACTGTAGGCCTTGGAGAAGAGGATCAACGCTGTGTGACTGAGACCCTGAATTGTAAACTTGGCTCTTTCCCCATAAAATACTTGGGTATGCCTGTTAGTGACCAGAGGATTACTAAAGCTCAATTGACGTATGTTAATGACAAATTTGAGAAAAGGCTGGGCACCTGGCAGTGTGATTACCTCTCCTCTGGGGGCAAATCTACACTTATAGATTCATGTCTGTCCAGCATCCCAATGTACACTATGGGTGTATATCAGCTATATGAAGGTAATTTTCAGCTTTTAGACACTGTCAGATCTCGATTTTATTGGCAAGGAACTGGGAAAAAGAGGAAATATCATATGATCAAATGGGAGGCATTGAACAGGCCAAAAGAATTTGATGGCCTAGGTTTCCTAGATGTTAGAGTTATGAATATTTGTTTAATGGCTAAATGGATTGACAAATTGGAAAGGGAGGACAACAGCCTGTGCTGTACTATCCTGAGGAACAAATATTTGGGACAGAAGAGTATCTTTCAAATCAAAAGAAGGCAAGGATCCCAATTTTGGAGATCGCTTCTAGACATAAGGGACTGGTATCAAAGGGGCAGGAAAGTAACAATTAGAGGTGGACATCAAACAAGATTCTGGCTGGACTGTTGGTTAGGAGACTGCCCTCTGAATGTTATGTTCAATAACTTGTTTCAGATTGCTACCAAGCCTGACATAGAGGTCTTCGAAGTTTTTGAGAACGGTCAATGGCAGATCCAATTCAGGAGACAGCTGAATGGTATCCTTAGAGATGAATGGATCCAATTACAAACCATGTTGAGCGAGGTCACTTTGACAGAAGAAAGAGACGTAGTTGTTTGGGCATTGGAAAAGTCTGGAAAGTACTCAACAAACACTCTATATAGACTGATGACTTTTGGGGGCATTAGAGATATTCAAATGATGAGAATCTAGGAATGCAACATTCCCTTGAAAGTTAAAATTTTCCTATGGATGGTAGCTCACGATAGAACCCAATCAAGTGTGCAATTAAAAAGAAAACAGTGGTCAGGCCCGGAGAAGTGTGCTGTGTGTGACCAATTGGAAACCACAGATCACATTCTCTTCCAATGCCCCATTGCTGTATATCTGTGGTCTTTCATGAGGAATTCATTTGGGTGGCCGAGATCACCAACCACTTCACTACTACAGAACAATTATTGGAGGCGAGCGATTTTGGTTTCTGGAGGTGGGCATTGCAACCGCCTCCGATCAAAGGTCACGGTTAATCCGTGACCTACCCGCCTCCGTAAATCAAACACGAAAAACAAAAAAAAGAAAAACCTGTGGCAGGCCCACCGAGCCCATCCATTGGCCTGCCAAGCCCATCCACAGGCCGCCGCAGCAGCAGCTGCCGCACGCCGGTGCCTGGACCGCGCGCCCCGCCGGGATCCGGCCTCTAGCCGCCGGATCCAGCCTCCCACCACCGAGATCCGACCTCCCGCCGCCGGATCTGGCCGCCCACCACCGGATCGAGCTGCCCACCGCCGGATCCGCCGTAGGGAGGAGCGCCGCCTGGAGGGGAGGAGGGCCGCCGGGACTGAGAGGAGAGGGGGGCCACAGTGCGCCGCCGGGAGAGGGGGCCGCCGTGCGCCGCCGGGAGTGGAAGAGGGACCACGCGCGAGAGGGAGAGGGAGGCGCCGCACCGCCAGCACCCGTCCTCCGCGTGTCGTGCCGCTCGGGAGGTCGCGAGGAGACGGAGGTCTCAAGGAGGGAGAGGGAGATCTCGGAGGGAGAAGGAGGGAGGAGGGGCGGCGTTGGGGCTGTCTCGGAGGAGAGGGAGGTTGCGAGGAGGGAGAGACAGAGTTGCGGCTCGGGCTCGGTGATGGAGAGAACGGGAAGGGGAAGGGCGCCGCTCGGTGTCTGAGAAAGAGAGAGGAGTGAACCCTAAGTCATCTTCTATTTATATTTGAAGATGTTTATTGGGCTCACCTGGGCCTATTGGGCCTCGACCTTTTTAAGGCGGGCATTATAGTGTGTTCGTCTTCGGAAATTGTTTTACGGTGGATTATTTTTTTAAGGCGGTTGTCTTAAAGATGACTGTCTCCATAATTTTTTTTTTTTTTTGAGGTTGTCCGAGGCGGTTGAATTTTTGACCGTCTCCGTTAATTAAAGTGCAACATCATGCAAAATCAATTCTATAGTAGTGCTTGTGTCGAGTTTTTTTCAAAGTTGATGGAAGATATTAGAGGAAAAAACAAAAAGTAACCCTATTTATCTGTGCAGGTGCCATGTGGACAATTTGGAAGACTCGCAACGATGTTGTGTTTAACAAGAAGCTCCTGCCCTCTCCACACGCAATCATTATCAAGATGTTGATGCTGATCAAGACCTGGAGCCCGCTAGTGAAGCCTAAACTGAGGCCGATGACAGATGAAATGATGGCTCTTTTGTCGGCAAATGCTTATTAGTGCTGGAGCACTTTGTATTGTCTTTTTATGGTCGTTGTCTTGTTTGAGCTAGGCCCAAACTATTTCTGGGTTCTTTTAACTCTGCTGTTGGTAACCTTGCTTAGTGAGCAGGTGGAAGTAGAGGTCGTCTGTTAGTGGTGTTTTGTTGAAGTCTAGAGTTCGGTTAAGACCGTAGTTAGAGTCGTTTAAACTCTGCGCTTCAATGTAAGCTGGTATCACCAGCCACGGATCTTGGGCTTTCGTTAAGCTTTAAATAAAGCAAGGTGAAATGACTTTGATCTATAATTGGCCCAAGAATAGGATAAGGTGCAATGCATGATTGCCTTATGATTGATGTTTTTGTCGATGGCTTCAAATCCTCCTGCCTTGGCCAATTCTTTCACTTCAAGGTAGCTCCTTTCTTCTTGGACTTGGGCAAAAGCTCCTCAAAGCCTTGACTCACCTTGTTCATGCATTTGAAACTATTTCTAGTTCCTCTAGACAAACTATCAAGTAGGTTTCTGCAGTATAGGCAATTTTACCTCTGTTTTTGCAACTTAAGTGCAGAACTCTTCAATGTAGAATTAGGGGTCTTCTTCAATATCTTTTGCTTCCATTTTTGATAATTTTAGGCATTTCTTCTTCAATGACGACATTTTTGCCTTTAGTTAACTCAGCTTGATCTGGCCGAGTTAATTTCTTTGAATTCTGCAGTTCAAGGGCATTGATTGGAAAGGGGTCATTATCAATCTACATACCCCTAATTAACCACTGTTCTTCATTAATAGCTAATTGTATTTGTCTGCAAAAAACATTGCAACCATTGGTTGCATGAGATATGAGTTATGCGATTTACAATAGGCACGTTGCGTTAACTCGTCAAGTGGCAGATAGCATGAGACTACTTGATTATGACATTGTTCAATAGTTCATCAAAGATCCTATCACATTTGGGAATATCAAAAGTAAATTTAACCTCATCTCATAGATTTTTAGGAATCGGCTATGAGGAATCAGAAGTATATGGATTATCTTTAGAAGACCGCAAATTTAGCAACATAAACATCTTTTCCCTCATCGTCCGAACAATCAAAATCACAAGTAAGCGTATGCATACCGGGATGATTAGACTTTAACTTCAAATCTTTGATTTGGCTTTCTTGAGCCAAAGCTCTTTGTCAAACTTGATTAATATTCATAACTTCATTGCTCTCTAATTTCTCTCCAATATAAGATCGCAATCCATTAAGAACTAATTCAGCAAGATCTTTCTCAGAAATATCAACACTACAACATCAATTTTTTAGTGTCTATAAAACTTTTGATGTAATCAACAACAAGCTCATCATGTCATTACCTAGTCGATGCTGAATGACTCAATCTCAATGCATTATCCCCACAAAGGGAATGGTCATAAAATTTTTGCTCAAATTGATCCCAAGAATGAAGAGAATTTGGGGTAATGAAGAAAACCATGAGAAAGTTGTACTGGTTAATGATAATGAAAATAAACACACATTAATTTCATCAATTGAATTGACTCCTAATTGAGCAAGATATTGGCTAACATGATTCCATGTGCTCCTATCACCATCTCCACTAAATTCCACAAAATTAGGGAACTTGTAACCTTGTGGGAGAGCAACATAATCAAAGCTTGAAAGATATGGCTTTTTGGTAAACATGAGATTTAGCTTTTACTTCTATATATCCACCATAGGTTTCTTTCATATGTTTGTCCATACTGATCTGTAAATAAGCCATACACTCGTCAAACAGCAACATGATTGCGTAGATGGAATCAGATGGTAGCACACGAGACATGGAGATTTATACTGGTTCGGGGCACGGTGCACGCTAATCCCTACTCCAGTGGTGCGGCTGCTCTTGTATTCATATGCTCAATTATAGGGGGTTGTTGCTCCTAGCTACGTGTAGATGGAATAGGTCAAAGATGGATCCCGAGCCCGAGGTCCCTACCCTCCTTTATATAGGCAGGAGAGGTAGGGTTACAAAGAGGGCGATCGGGCTAACAGATTGTTTCCTAGTTTGTTACATGATATGCGCAACAGAAAGGTCCTAGCTATCGTCCAGATGCATCCGCCTTGGTTTGCTTTGATCTCCACATTGGTCGATGGCGTCAGCCCTCGTGGGCCTCTCCCTTGACGACTACTGAGCCGATAGCTTGGCGATGGTCACATATACGGGCAGTGCAGGCACCCCCTGGCCCATATATCTGACAGTAGCCCTCGTAGGACTTAATGATAAGCAAACGTATGGCTCTAGCCCTCGGGGCATCGCAATTTCCCCTACAAGTTCTGCGTACTATAAGTACCAGTGAGCATCTTCGGGTGCCAAAGTTCTGAGCAGTGTGCTTAGATATTCCCAAGTATTGGGGAGCCAGTATGTTGCCATTCGAGTACCAAGAACATTTCTCAGGTGGCGAGAATCTTCTTCAAGTATCGAGTGGGGCGGTGGAACACCGTACATCAAGAAACTTAGTTCCCTGTTGGCTGTAAGCGCCTAGCTCAGGTGGTACACCGTATATCGGGAAACGTAGTTTCCTGGGCATAGCCCTCAGGATGTTGTCAATGTCTCGTTCAGGTGGTGGCACCCAATGACCAAAAGCGTAGCTTCTAGGACGTCCGTAGGCGGCTATGTTAGGGTGAAAACACCGTTGTACTCCAGGAGTTGGTTCCTGACGTATTCTGGTGTGCAAATTAGTGGTTACGCATCATTAAGTCCTAGTCGCAGAACAATAATGAGGATGGGGTAGGTGCACCTCCATCGCTCGCACATCACTAAGCCAGTTGGTTTTTGGGCGACCCAATTCAGGTCGTCGGTTAACATCACTAAGGGCATCACGTTTTTCTTTGAGACTCGTTAAGCAATAGATCTCGAATTTTCATGAGCCTCATTAGTAGGAAGAGCGAGGTCATTGTCTCGGATCCCTGAGGCCGATATAACAACATCCCGGGCTGAGAACTGTTGTGGGCGAGTAACGAACGCGTGAGTAGCCGTGGGCAGTTGCGCATATTACTCTTGGAGCTGGTAATAGATAGAACGAGTGAACGTCCGCTATCACTACAAGGAAGCGGTAGGACAAAGCCTGACCAGTGGGGGCATGTCATAAAACTCCTTTTCTAGATTCTAGGAGCTCATACTTTGGTTACAGCCATGGGCTAACCAGTTTTCCAATTTCCCACAAAGGGGCACACACCCGCTGAAATAAGGTACTTCGAGCTCGTCTAGGCATTGGGAGATTTATGTGACACCGAGTGTTAGAGGTTTTAGGGTCAGACTGGTGACCCTCCCGAACACCCCCTGACTCTAGTAGGGGCAGGGTCGATAATGAACGAGCCACTACCGCTTACACCTGCTGTGAGGGTGAGCTGAGTACTCGATCTGAGTGTCAGATCACTCACCTACACCGGCTCAGGTGATGGTACGTCATGGTTTGGCCCACTAGACCCTATGGTTGCTGCGATTACGTGGATGGATTCCTTCTCAGTGAAGCCGAGGCAT